TTAACTTAATCTTACAGTACTAATTGTTGTCTTTTGTTTACTTTAAGGGTTTCTATGACACCAGCATGGAGCAGTATGATGCTCAGGAGCCTAATTTCAAGAGGCTCAGACAGCAGCATTTGGATGGAGAATTACGCAAGTTAGTATAACTTTAAACTTCTGGTGCTTTTCTGTATGCTAACAAGTTCCTTGTTTATGTCACTTGAATATTTTCCTTGGTTCTTGGCTTCTCCCAGCGAAGGCGTGAGATTGTCACGCTAATGTTATATAATATAAATAATAAGGATCAAAATGTGTTCGACATTTTTTTTTGTCTTCATCCATTCATAAGCCCTATTGTGTTTTTTTTTTAATAGTGAGACTGAAGAGAGGGAGAGGAAGAAAGATAAACAGAAGATAAAGAAGAAGAAGGAGAGTGACTTGCCATCTGCCATCCTGCAGACCAGCGGAGTAGCTGAGTTTACCAAAAAACGTTCCAAACTAGTGTTACCCGCACCACAGGTAACCACTTTGTTTTGTTTCTTTTGTTATTACTTCTTGATTTTATATATCAATATAATGTACTTGTTATATTGATAACAGGTAGTACATTCAGTTTTTTAATTTGCCTTTCTTCACAGATCAGTGATGCTGAGTTGGAGGAAGTTGTCAAATTGGGTGTCGCCAGTGAGGTCGCCCGTCAAGCTGCCGAGGAGAGTGAAAGCGCTAACTCCGCCTCCTCCACCCTCCTCTCAGAATACAGTGTCACCAATACCATGGCAACAGGGCTACGGACACCACGAACTCCTGCTGCTCAGGACAGAATCATGCAGGTAATAAAGACACTCAAAAGCAAAATGTCTCACATATGTTTTGTTTAATCTCATATGTGTGATTTCTGCATATCTGTGATATTTTATATTAATTGATCCATGTAATTACAGCGATGCTAAGCTAAATTGTCCCTCATGAATAAAGAATAAAGTCAGTCAAAATTAGAGGGCCAATGTGAAATCACAGTCCTGTCTGCACATTTGAATGTCATACAAGTTACATCAGAAAAATACCTTATAGTCTGCTGTTTGATCAGTTATTGCCAATCCAGATAATAATAAACTTAAGTTAGTAGAGACAGGATAGTGCTTAAAAATGCATGTACATATTATGTGTTGATCACTTGGCCACCAATCTTTTTGCATCATTTATGTATTTGCATTTATGTATACATTAAGGAATATCGTTGTCAGTAAAAATGTAACTTTACAAAGTTGATACCAATTTCCTGCTTCTAAATTCAGATGAAAGAGGTAATTGTACTTGGCTCTAAAAATCTAGAAATATGGTGGGTAACCAG